GCCCGAGGGCACCGGGCTCTGCGTGTGCGCGCAGCGCGGCGTTGTTTGCGGCTCCGACGGCCGCTCCTACCCCAGTGTTTGCGCGCTGCGTTTGCGCGCCCGGCACGCGCCCCGCGCGCAGCTGGGCCACCTGCACAAGGCGCGCGACGGCCCCTGCGAGTTTGGTGAGTTCGTCTGGGGTGGGTGGAGAAGGCCAGACCGTACAGGTCTGGACAGCGCCGCCTGGGCCTCACTTTCCCCCTTGGAATCAGTATTTCTAGGTTCTTTCTTTGCTCTGGGAGACAGGAATGAGACTCCACGTCCTGGACCTTCCGTTACTAGTTGGAGACACTGGTCACAGAGCAGGTTAGAATTTTGGTGACCCTTAAGTACCTGATGGCACAGTTGTTTTCAAGTGTCACATGTTTGCCCCAGCGAGACTTCGAGTTTCTGGGGGGTTCCACGGCGTCTTACCGAATTCAGTGTCCCTTGGTGGGCGCCTGGCCTGGGCTGGGGTGTGTTGTTTGAATGGAGAGGGAGGGAAGATAAGCGTGATACAAGAGGAGTTCCAGACTGGGTCACAGGAGTCACAAGGCCAGAGCACCAGGACATAGGTGATAGAGGCTTGGGGCTCAGCTGGCGGACCTGAGGGAGCATCCACCCAGAATAGGTAAGACCTTTGGAGACCTAAGCTCAGAAAAGATTATGGTGCCATCAGGGGCAGACAGGTTCTGTGGGCCTTCCAAACCAGAAACCAAACCTGTTACCATCAAGTCATTTCTGACTCATAGCAACCCTATAGGACAGAACAGAACTGCCCCAAAGAGTTTCCAGGGAGTGGCTGGTGGATTCAAACTGCCAACCTTTTGGTTAGCAGCCGTAGCTCTTAACCACTGCGCCACCAGGGCTCCTTATGGGCTTTAGACATATATAATTTGGAAGGCACCACTATAAGTAAAGGAATAGGGAATTAAGAATTTTTATTTTATGAATTGCTTTCTTAAAATCACTGTAAAGCTGTCTCTGCGTCCCATCTTTTCCCACCCTCTATAGGTAATTTAAAAAAAGAAAACAAATATAAACCAAAAGACCTTAAATATAAGGCTGTCCAGCCAAGTGCTCTGTTTCGATGGCTCCCTGAGCATGGGTGCGGGCTGCCCATTAGGTTTTAGAGAACTGCCCCTGTCTGTGCTGCCTTTAGGGGGCAGTGTAGAGTTCAGGGAGAGTGAGCATGTGGCCAGTGAGTCCAAGGGAGCCTGGGGTTCAGACATCTGGGGAAGAATTCTGGCCTGGGCCGGGAGACTTCCTTAGTCCAGACTTGAAGACCTAAGTCAGTGCAATGACTTCAGCTCCAACTAGGAAGCCTGGTTGAGGGTCGGGGGGGGAAGCTTTTCTAGGCTGCAGGACCCTCTGTGGATGTTGACATACAGACCTGGCTCACTGGAACCTTTTGCTCTAAGAAGAATCTAGTTTTATTTCCCCCAAGCATTCTAGGTACATCTACTGAGTCCAGGAGACCAGATGGGATTTTGGAGATGGGGCAGGAATCCTCCTGTTGTGGGAAACAAAAACAATGCATGTCTCATCGAGGCTGCCTGAGCACTGGGACGCCACTGTTGGCCGTTCCTGGTTGGTGCTGTTAGTGGAGGAGAGAGCTGGCTGGTGCTTCTGGTGCTGCTGCCGATTCCCTGTGTGACCTTGGGACAATGCCTTCCCCTCTCTGGGCCGTGTCAGCCCTATGGAGCTGTGTTGAAGTCCCTTCCACTTTGAACCTTTGTTTCTGCCTTGTGGCATTTAAACAGTTCATTCTCTCCTTCCTTCTTTTTGTTCCCGTCACAAAGCGTTTTACAATCTGCTTTCCTCAGCAGTTAATTCACAGGCTGGTCTCTTTGTCTCCAGGCAGGTAACACTCTCAGACCTGCATGCAGGAGACTTAAGAAATGCTGGCCAGGTCTCAGAGTCCCCGGAATCTGGAATCTGTACGGTGCTCCTGGTCTCAGATAATATCTCCCTGGAGTGTTACTCTGTTTCCAGGAAAAAGACACCTTAAAGACATTTAGACCAAATCTGTTAGTATGCAGAGAAGGAGACTGAGACCCAGCGAGGGCAGGGGACTTGTCCAGGTTGACTGCAGAGCCTGGCCAGCTCCCAGGTCCCCGACACCCTCCCCAGCGATTTTTTGGGACAGGACTTGATCGTTCTAAGTCAGGCGGATGGTGGTTGCCATGGTTACCAGAGTGAGGCCAGATGGCAGATAGAAACCCCATACCCCTAACTCATTGAAAATTACCAAATGACAAGTAAAGGTGACAGCCCCTTCACTCTTATCTGTGGGCTTGGAGGCCCACCCCAGGCGCAGGCCCCGGGAGTAAAGATGTACATGGGCCAAACGGAGGCAATTCAGAAGCTGCTTTTAATGATCCCATTAGTGACAGGCACCAGGCCTCCTGGAGTTCAGCTTCCTGCCAGAATCTGTCATCCGATGCGGACCTGGCCGTTGTTTTCCTGCAGCTGCTTCTTCTGAGATGCATTGTGTGGGCCCTGCTCTCTTGTGTCCTGGTAAAACACGAAGGTACGGGACAGGGGCGTCTCTTCCTAGCCAAGGCAGCCCTTCATTCTGTGCTGCCCCAGCGCCAGCCTTGGTTCAGACGACGCAGCGGGAGCAGTTTTTAACAATGCCCCCTGGGGCCCTGGTGGAAGGAAAACAGACAGTCAGAGCAGCAGCTGTTCTGCTTCAATATTGGTAATAAAATCCTCCTCCTCTGCTCCTTACTGACTCCTTCAATGAGCGAGCACCATGCCTTTAAGGGAATGAGGCCTCGGTAAATATTTATTAGGTTACTTGCAGTGTCGGGAAGTGTCCTTACACGTTCCTCTGAGCAGGATTTGGAAACAGTGTTTGAGCCTAAATGATGACCTTTCCTGCTATGCCCTGAAACACCCCAAAATGCCTAGTAATGAGAGTACAGGTAGTCCCCAATTTACGTTGGGGTTCTGTTCCAGCGACTCCTTCGTAATTAGGTTCTGATGTAAGTCGAATACCTCCTTTTTTAAAAAGTTTTTATTATTATTGCCTTTTATTATCAGTATCTGTATAAACCCTGTCCTTTATTTGTCGTTGGAGGTTGGAAACATTACATATAAACTTACGGATATATTTTAATACATACGTACATAAAAAATAAACAAATCATTAAAAAACAGTCGTAAGTGTGGTTTGTTGTAACTCAGATACGTTGTAAGTTGGGGACTACCTATAATCATTTGATCAACACACATTTATTGAAGACCCACTATGTTACTGTGCGTGAATAGTTCTTTCCTGCTGGAAATCGCGTTTGCATGCATCTTGTCACTTGATTTTTACAACTACCCTGGCCAGCTCTCACTCCCATTTAATAGAGGGAAAACTGAGCCCTGGAGAAAGCAGTTCCCCAGGGCCACACACTAGTTCCTGGCTAAGGTGGGCTGTGACGTGGGTTTTCCTGGCTCTTTTCAGACTGGTGCCATGCATCTCTAGCCTGCTGACAGTCTGATTATAAAGGGGCCGAAAATTGACTGGGATTTGTGTGACAGCTTGAGTCTTGAGGATTTCCCAGTCTGGATCAACCTTTCTGTTTGTCCCGATGGCTTGTTGCTTGTCCCTCTACTTAGCACTAAGTGATGGCTCCTGGTGATTCAGTGGTAGGGTTCTCGCCCTCCGTGCAGGAAGCTCAGGTTTGATTCCCAGCCAGTCCACCTCATGTGCAGCCACCACCCATTTGTCAGTGGAGGCTTACGTGTTGCCATGATGTTGAACAGGTTTTAATGGACTATGAGCTTCTAGATTAAGATGGACTAGGAAGAAAGGCCTGGCGATCTACTTCCAAAAACATCAGCCAGTGAAAGCTTTATGGATCCCAGCAGTCCAGTCCTGTTGTGGATGTGGTTACCATGAGTCAGGGGCCGAGTTGATGGCAGCTAACAGCAACAACAAGATGGCTCCTGAGAGGGGTAGGGATAGCCTCATGTAAGGGGAAGCACTGGAGAGGAGCTTTGAAGATGGGGAGAAGATCCTAGGCTGGGACGGGGTGGGAGTCCGAGCCTGAGTGGAGGCGTGGTGTGAGGGCCTGTGGCGGGCATGAACAGTGGGCCCTCTGTGCAGCTGCCCAGTGGGATGGTTGGAGGAGATGAGGTCCCAGAGTAGTCTGGGGCAGGGTCATCAGAGGCCTTAAATGCCAGGCTAAGGGGTGAGACTTCATTCTGTACTAAATTATTGGTTCGGTTTCTCACCTGTAAGATACACAGTCTTATTTAATTATTGTTAATAGTATTATTGTTGTTAGTGTAATTGCTTTAAAAGGCTGGGTTGCTTCGTGTGTGCACCCCAGACTGTGCATTGGGCAAAGGTTGGAGCTGGATCCTGCAGACAGCGAGTCAGTGACGTGTTTGGAATGTTAAATTAGGTAGGAGCAGGGTCCTGTGCCAGGGCCCACGGGGGTATTGAGCCCCAGCAGCTTCAATATGTTCTTGAGATCCTGAATTCTTAGAGAATTCACCACGGTTGAAATTCCATCTCCACTTAGAAGCCTGGGGCTGTGCTAGGCGCGTGTTACCAGGTAACCAGGAGAGGCAGTGAACGCCACTTTGTGAGAGGGACAAAGAAGGGGGCCTCGTGCTCAAAAGCCTTTCACTCCGAGGGAGGGGGTTTGAGACGCAGGCTGCGGGGAGCAGGATTAAGCTGTTTCGTTTCACATTGCAACGTGACTATTAGCA